ACTTGGGGAGGGGCCTCCCCCCCCCCCCCCCCCCCCCCCAGGGGGAGGAGCGGAAACTTGGGGAGGAGGCAGCTGGTCCCCCCCCCCCCCCCCCCCCCCCTGGCTACAGCTCCGGGTCTGGAGGCCAGGGGCCTGAGACTGCAGAGCTGGGAGAGGGTGGGGGTATGAAACCCATAACAGGGGAGGGAGGCTCAGACAGCCCCCCCCCCCCCCCCCCCCCCCTGGTAGGCTCCTGATGTTAGGGGTCCTGAGTTCCAGCCCCCCCCCCCCCCCCCCCCCCCCCTACTTAAACATACAATTTCAAGTGTGGTGTATATACACCCCCCCCCCCCCCCCCCCCCCCCAAAAGAATGAAATCTTGCTATTTGCAACAACGTAGTTGGAGCTAGAGGGTATTATGCTGAGCAAAATAAGTCAGAGAAAGACAAACACCGTGTAATGTCCCCCCCCCCCCCCCCCCCCCCCCAACAGATGAACATAGAGGAAGGGGAGGAAAAAAAACAGCCCCCCCCCCCCCCCCCCCCCCCCTCTTAACGAGAGAGGACAAACTGAGGGCTGATGGAGGCCCCCCCCCCCCCCCCCCCCCCCATGGGGGATGGGCATTAAGGAGGGCACTTGTTCGGATGCCCCCCCCCCCCCCCCCCCCCCCTGAGGAATCACTGAATTCTACTCCAGAAACCAATGTGACCCCCCCCCCCCCCCCCCCCCCCTTTAAATAGAAGTTTAGAAAAAAAAAATTAAACCTATACCCCCCCCCCCCCCCCCCCCCCCAGAAACCAGAGAGGGGGAAGTTCACAGGACTGAGAGAAAGAAAGAGGCCAGCCAGCCAGATCAAGAGGAACAAAGACCCAGAAAAGGGGGTGCTACGGACCCCCCCCCCCCCCCCCCCCCCCGACGGATGAGCCAGACCCCGAGGGCCGGGTATGAGCTCCCCCCCCCCCCCCCCCCCCCCCCGTGCTTCTGGGGAGGAAGAGAGTGGTGTGAGAAGTCAGCCCCCCCCCCCCCCCCCCCCCCCGGCCTTGCAGGCACTGAGGACTGGGGGTTCTGTTCGAACCCCCCCCCCCCCCCCCCCCCCCGGGAAGTGCTGGAATATGGTTTACCCTTGCCCCCCCCCCCCCCCCCCCCCCCCCCCCCCCCGGGTCACTGATGGGAGAACGGGACACAGTTGTAGCACCTGAGATACGGTGATGACCTGATGACCTGGCCGGGGGAGGGAGCAGTGGGATGAACAGAAGTCCCCCCCCCCCCCCCCCCCCCCCACCAGAGCGAGCAGGATCCCATCCGTAAGTGATCAGAACCCCCCCCCCCCCCCCCCCCCCCAGCCGACCAGTGGTGTCCAGGGACTGGGGCAGATGGAGCCCCCCCCCCCCCCCCCCCCCCCGCCCAGCTTTCCTCGTGGAGCGACACAGTTGCCCTACACCCCCCCCCCCCCCCCCCCCCCCCTCCACAACTACACTGAAAACTAGCGAATGGGATGTAGCCCCCCCCCCCCCCCCCCCCCCCACGTTCGGTAAAGCTGCCGTCAAAAGGAGAACCTTCTGCCCCCCCCCCCCCCCCCCCCCCCATTCCCTGAGGCGAAAGTGGGAGCAGAACGTGAACATTCCCCCCCCCCCCCCCCCCCCCCCAGGGTCGTGTAGACCTTTCTGCTTCACCCCGTGTGCTCCCCCCCCCCCCCCCCCCCCCCCCAGGCCGAGAACAGTCCGTCTGTCCTTTGGGGGAGCCGTCCCCCCCCCCCCCCCCCCCCCCCGCCTCGATGCTGGCCCTTAGAGCAGCGGATGCTAGAGTCCCCCCCCCCCCCCCCCCCCCCCACAGACCCCGGGGTGCAAGGTGGGGGCAGGGTGACGAGCCCCCCCCCCCCCCCCCCCCCCCTGCAGGCACACTCACCTGTCATGATTCCCACGTAGCAGCCCCCCCCCCCCCCCCCCCCCCCCAGGGAGGGAACGTCGGGCAGGAGCCCTAGGCTGGGCCCCCCCCCCCCCCCCCCCCCCCCCTCCTTCCTCTGGGCCAAGTGCAGGTCCTGAACTTCACTCCCCCCCCCCCCCCCCCCCCCCCAAGGGGCGAGGGCAGGGCACAGATCAGACAGGAGAGGTCCCCCCCCCCCCCCCCCCCCCCCAACCCTCCCTCCTGGGCCCTTCTACCTCGGTGCTCCCCCCCCCCCCCCCCCCCCCCCCCCCTGGCTTGATACCACCCACGCTCTCATGATCTCCAAACTCCCCCCCCCCCCCCCCCCCCCCCCTCCAACCCCCAAACCCCTCAAGGTGCCTTCTGTCATCCCCCCCCCCCCCCCCCCCCCCCCCCTCAAACTTCACACATCAGAGGGAAACACAGTATCACCCCCCCCCCCCCCCCCCCCCCCCCTTCCAGCCTGTCTCCTCAGCAAATGCCACCAGCAGCCCCCCCCCCCCCCCCCCCCCCCCCCTTCCTTATTCCCCAAATCTAATCCCATAGGTCTTGGACCCCCCCCCCCCCCCCCCCCCCCCCCCCTCGCCGGGGCTGAATGTATGTGGCCTGCCCGCCCCCCCCCCCCCCCCCCCCCCCCCCGGCAGACCCTGGGCTGGGCCTACAGCAGCAGCAGGCCCCCCCCCCCCCCCCCCCCCCCCCCGGCGCCCTGCCGATCAAGAGCCCTGGGCGGAGAGGGGCCCCCCCCCCCCCCCCCCCCCCCCTTTCCTTCCCTTGTAAGATCAGCTGGGGCTGGCTGTGCCCCCCCCCCCCCCCCCCCCCCCTGGGGGCTCCCCGGCTGCTGGTCCAGGATTCCTGCACTCCCCCCCCCCCCCCCCCCCCCCCCCCCCAATGCAGGACCTCCTGCTGGAGTTCTGACTATCCCCCCCCCCCCCCCCCCCCCCCCACCTCTGATCAAGGAGGCCATCCTCACCCTTCTTGCCCCCCCCCCCCCCCCCCCCCCCCCCTCCAGAGCGTATTTCCAGACATGTAAACCTGGTCACTTCCCCCCCCCCCCCCCCCCCCCCCAACCACCATTTCCGGTGGATCCCGAGCCCCACGGGAAGCCCCCCCCCCCCCCCCCCCCCCCGTTCCCCTTCCTTCTCCTGATGAACACTCGCTGGGGCTCCCCCCCCCCCCCCCCCCCCCCCTGAAAGGCTCTTCGTCCAGCTCTTGGCTAACCCACTCCCCCCCCCCCCCCCCCCCCCCCCCAGAGACCAGGACGCCCACGGGACCTGATTCACTACCTCCCCCCCCCCCCCCCCCCCCCCCCCAGCACCCAGGAGCTCCTGACTTTTCGGTCTGGGCGGGCCCCCCCCCCCCCCCCCCCCCCCCATCTTCCTGGGTGATACAGAGCCAGACACGGGCGTCCCCCCCCCCCCCCCCCCCCCCCCCGCCTTCTCTCCAAAGCTGTTTTTCCTACTTTGATAAATCCCCCCCCCCCCCCCCCCCCCCCTCGAAAACGCGCTGGTGAAGCACTTAGCTCACGCTCTGCCCCCCCCCCCCCCCCCCCCCCCGCCGACGGTTATACTATGGGGCTGGGGGGCTGGGGGGGCCCCCCCCCCCCCCCCCCCCCCCTAGCTGAGGTGAAGTCCCACCCCTGGGGGGCGTGGGAGCCCCCCCCCCCCCCCCCCCCCCCCCCATGGGAGTGGGCGAGAGGAGGAGGTGAGGATGGGGAGTTCAGGCGGCACAAAGGGAGGGCTGGAGGGGAGTCTGACCTTCAGCGTGAGCAGCAGCTCCCCCCCCCCCCCCCCCCCCCCCGGAGTGGGCAGGCCCAACAGGCTGAGTGCGCGGAAGAACCCCCCCCCCCCCCCCCCCCCCCCGAGGGCGAGGGCATGGCAGGAGCTGGGGCAAAGGCAGAAGGCCAGCTGTGCCGGGTACAGGGCCCTGGCCTCCGCCTCCCCCAGATTCTAGCTACGGACCCCCCCCCCCCCCCCCCCCCCCATGGGAGAGCGACCGTGGAAGAAGGGGCGCAGCCACATCCCCCCCCCCCCCCCCCCCCCCCAGAAGGAGGGCTCCAGAGAAGCTTTCGGGTGAAAACCCCCCCCCCCCCCCCCCCCCCCCCCGGAGGCAAGCAAAAGGGAGGGAAAGAGACATAACAGAAACACGAATGGTGGCAGGGCCAGGGCAAGTCCTCCTTTGTCCTGAATACATGATTTGGACATCCCCCCCCCCCCCCCCCCCCCCCGGACGAGGCCCAGAAGAAAAAGCAGAAGAGGAAGAGAACCCCCCCCCCCCCCCCCCCCCCCCAGAGAATTCGGAGATTAACAAGAGACACTCAGAGACACCCCCCCCCCCCCCCCCCCCCCCAAGGAGGAAACAGGTTGCTTCCTCCTTCCCCTGTTTCCCCCCCCCCCCCCCCCCCCCCCCCAAATCCTCACCAGGGCTGGGCCTGGATGAGGGCCCAGGCCCCCCCCCCCCCCCCCCCCCCCTGCAAAGTGTGGGGGCCACAGGTGAACAAGGTGAGCCCCAGGCCCACAGCTGCTGCCCCCCATCTCTTCAGCCCAGGTCCTGCAGGGAGAAGGGGCAGCCCCCCCCCCCCCCCCCCCCCCCCGTCCCCTGCCCGGTCTCCCCCACGCCCCCCACCCCCCCCCCCCCCCCCCCCCCCCCCCCCCTGACTCACCAGCTTTCTTAAAGAGGAAGCCGATGGGGATGGAGATAAGAAGAACCACTAGGTAAGTCCATTCTTCAGGCGACATGGTCTGGGGGAGGGGCCCCCCCCCCCCCCCCCCCCCCCAGAGTCGGTCCTTCAGCTCTTCCCCCTTGGAAGATTCAGGAATCCACTCTCCCTAGTCCCCAGTTGTCGAGGATCATGGAGTCCTACCCTCAGCTCCTCCCCCCCCCCCCCCCCCCCCCCCCGACCTCCAGAACATTCCTCCTTCCAGGATAAAGGAATCCCCCCCCCCCCCCCCCCCCCCCCGAACCCAGGCCACCAGCCCTCTTATCCTGTGAGAACCCCCCCCCCCCCCCCCCCCCCCCCCTCTCTGCGATCGCAGAAATCAAAGCTACGCCCCCCACCCCCCCCCCCCCCCCCCCCCCCCCGACATCGCTTTCTGAGAACCCAGAAACAACCCTTGTGCCCCCCCCCCCCCCCCCCCCCCCCAGGATTCCAGAGCTCCCAGCCTCCTCCTCCTTCGAGGACCCCCCCCCCCCCCCCCCCCCCCCCGAGAACCCAGGCTCCAGCCTCCACCTCCTCCCGGGCCCCCCCCCCCGCCCGGAGGACGCCCCCCACCCAGCTCCTCCCCAGCTTCCCCCCCCCCCCCCCCGCCATGCCTCTTCCCCCCAAATT